AATTACTTGAGACTAAAAACACAAATTATAATTTATCCCATTTAAAATGATAAAAACATAATTTTTCCTAAAACTAGATAACGAAAGAAAATCTAATACCACATCAAACATATTCATTTTTCATTTAAAAAACTTTCTTACAAAAAAATATTAGATATATATGTAAACAATATATACAAAAACACCTACAACGTAGTGCTGATACATACCTAATTCTTTTTAAAATCTCTCAAAGTCATTTTCATTGTTTTTTTGCTCTTGATTCGACAGTTTTTTAAGGCATCCAAAACACCTACAACGTAGTGCAGATACATACCTAATTCTTTTTAAAATCTCTCAAAGTCATTTTTATTGTTTTTTTGCTCTTGATTCGACAGTTTTTTAAGGCATTCAAAATCTTTACTTTTTATTTATTTAAAGCCAGTCTAGGATTTATTTATATTTATTAAATTAGCAGGTTAAGGCTCCATCTCTTCTTAGGAAAGTGGTTGCTCAATGTTCGATTTTCCACATATGGAAGTAGTGAAACAACGTGCTCTATAACTCCCAAACTGTTCCCACACGGACGGTCTTCAGAAACATTGACAGAGAGATCATTAGTATCATCAATTCTAGAAGACACAAAAAACGTTGGAGAAATCTAATGCTTTTATGGATCGAATAGATTTTCTCTAATTTCAATCCCAACCTAATGTAACTTTGTTTTTAACTTTTTTGCCAAGGTTTCATTTACTAGGTAATGCTCTTGTAATACCTCAAACATTCATTACATAATGATATTTACATTTTTAGCCAAAAAAAAAAAGGGTTAAAGATCGTACCAATCATCCCCTTAGTTAAGTAAACGCACCCAAGCACTTATTCCTTCAATCCTTCCAACCATAATCCATTATTTATGAATCATTTATATCGATTACGAGTCAATTTCTTTAGTTAAATCGAGAGTTATACCTCTAGAAGCATTGAAATAAGATGTCACAAACAATGTTTGTCCCTATAACACACCTTGGAGACAATGAACTTTTTGCGAGCAGAGAGCGAGTTGAGAAGGCGAAAACAAAAGCTATCTGTCTGCACTCATCTGTTTCCCCGTCTATCATTGATATCATAATTATACGACTGTAGCCAAAAAAGAAATGCAGAACCATAAGTTCTTCAGTTTCTGCATTAAATATGGCTTCAAAACTACAATACTTGAGTTTCCATTTTCTATGTTTGATTTTCAGATATGATTCAAAGGTCACGAAAAGCTCTTTTACAAATGGTTCTTTAGTTCTGTACCAAAGAGAAACTTGTGAAGACAAGTAGAAGAATCATAATCGTCCTCCAAGAATAATATTTTGTTTCACACATTGTCAAAGACTCTAGAAACTCACTCTTCCTCGCTTAGTCGCGCAATATAAAATGTTACAGAACTTCTCGCTTAACTTTCTGGAATTGCCTTGGTTTGGCTGTTCGTAACTCCTTCCAGTTATAGCCAAAACAAAATATAGAAGAAAGTTAGTAATTTGATAAACCGGTCAAATTTGGTTTCACACAAGCCAATTAAGATATTGTATCCCACTCTTTTTCGTGCCATAACTCATTAAAAAGCCAGTGAGTACAATAAAAGTAATTCTCAATTTCAAATTAAGCTCAACTAATTTGAAGTTTATCCACCAAATTTCATCTTACAAAAGAATTGTATCAGCAGCTGTCACTACCTGCATGCTTCGGCTTGTACAAGCCTGGTTGATTGTGTTTTACGGCTTTTGCTGTGTCGAGGGTCACAACCCGCCCATCTACCAACTGTGATCCATAAAAGAAGATTTAAGAAGATTACGAAACCAGTTTCAAAAGAGTTGACTCAGATTATTTCAAGGACATAGTTCCATTATCTGACATATCTTGTTCTAATAATGCTCCACTAGGAGATTCATCAAATATTTGTTTCCTGCCTAAGGGGAGAAAGCTATAAACTGGAAAGAAGATGATTGTGATGAAACCGATGAAGCTTCTTAGACTTATCAGAGAGAAGAGAGATAGGGAACATTAGCAATGAACTCTGAAAGAGAAGGGAGTGGAGTTTTTTTACCTGGCCTTTGAGTTCTAATAAAGCTTTTGTGGCTTCTTCATTAGATGAGAAAGTGACATAAGCAAACCCTTTTGGTCTGCATCTGACTTTGTCCACTATCACATTCACTGAAACAAGGAAAAGGTGAAGAAGCAAATTAGGGACTGACCTCCAAGAACTCAAGCAAGGGAATGAATTGCTGTTGAGATTAGGGACTGACCTCCAACAACTCGACCAAATTGAGAAAATGCTTGGGTTAGTGTTTCTTCTGTGCTTGAAAAAGATATGCCTGCAAGAAACAAAGGCTTCAATTTAGTGACAGTAAGACAAGAAATGAGTGACAGAGACTTTAAACATGTAAAGTTTGAAACTTTAAGACGGTAAGACAAAGTGGCGGCGCCTAGGCTGCAAATCCACACATACCCACCCTTGTTTTGTTTTGTTTAATCACTGAAACGTCATCAATTCAAAACACTGTCCCTAAGAATTGGTAACAAACGCATACAAAAAGCAAAAATGCCCACACGCAACATTCGCTAATACACAAATGAGGGAAACTAGATTTGAGATCATCGGAGACCTTTGACGAAAAGCGTAGAGGAGAAGAAGGCTCTGGAAAAGAGGAGAAAAGGAGGAGAGGAGGAGCGATAGACCAAATGGTTGAGCATTTTTTCTTTAGGGTTACGCCTGAACCTGTGCCTGTTGCCGCTATCCCACCGCCGGCGAATCCAACCTTTCTTTTCTTCTTCACCAATTTCTACAACAAACAAAGTTTAGTGTATTTTACCAATAATATAACACATCATATCTGTTTATTGATTTTTTAGGGGAATTGCCAAAAATGAAATACAAAAAACAATTGGTCAAATAATTTAACAAGGTAATTCTTCCGATAATATCGTTTTTGTTAATAATATGAATTTTTGAAATTTTGTTTTATCATTTATTTATTTTATATATGTAAACGTGTCAAAGAAAAATATATAATAATTTAATACATTACAGTTAAAAAAAATATGTTAAATTTGGTTTGTCCGAATATCTTAAGTAGAATTTAGAATACAAATAAATTATTTAATATTTTAAAACATTAAAATATATAATCTCCTA